ATGCGACTTATGTTTATTCAAATTTATCGCGATTGACGGACTTAGGTGCCGCTAGTGTTGTAGCCATACTTTTGTTTTAAAAACTGTTGAAAAGATAGTGAGTACTAGTTCAGTTAAAAACAGCGAATAGATCAGACGTAAGGTTAATAAAGATCAATTCGTACACAACTCTAAAAAAATTCTGAAATATGTATAAAGTCTGCTGCAATTTAAAGGGAAAAGTAAAATTTAACATAAGTACGTGATAAACATCGGTTTTCTCTCGTGAAACATATCTGTAATGTCCACGTTATGTTAATCACTGCTCATGATACGAAAGTGACTGGACATGAAATTGTAGATTAAATTTTCAATTATTCGCGATCGTCAGTATATTTATTCTTTACCTGTATCGCGTACTTCAATGAAGTACTAAATCGAATCAAAATGCTCATAAATGTCAAATTAAATTTCTCGCAGATGTACACGAGTGCAATTGTCACAGTGTGGTGTTTGCGGTGAAATGTCATAAATCATTGATAGGATCTGTGACACGTGCTTATACATGTGTAATATATGTGTAACGAGTGTGTCCATCAAGTACAATGTGAAAATGTGAGCAATACGATGCGTTTACTGACGAAATGTACACGATGTAACTAATGACGATTAAAAAAAGAGCGCATTGTTTTATAGAGAAATAATTAAAATAAGAAACAAGATTACTATACAAATAATATTGAAGCGAAAATTAATAGTGCAATATGTTAAACGCGATTCTGAAAGAAAGAGGAAAAAAGAAAATAGAAATATTGCAGAACAGCTCTTCGTAAGTGTATAATGCAACACGATATGTTTCATGAGGAATGATGCTCAAAGTTGTTTCGGGATAAGATTGTTTAAAATAGGAAAACATATTATTGAACAACAGATAATATTACTAGATGAAATTTTTAACAATGTTTACACGACTTTATGAATACAAATTCAACATTGTGTCATCAAAGAACATAATCCTTTATAAGCATCTCGTTTTTCAGATTTGAATGCATCGTATAATATGTACCGCGTACAAACGCAGTAGATCTTTCGTGAAAATTGGAAATATCATATGATGATATACTGGAATATAATAAACATCTGACATTTCGCGCAAATATAGCCGCTTTCTGAACCCAAGTGCATTCATTAAAATATAAACCTCAATCAATTTGCAGTTTCCCCTGACGATATTTTCTTATGTAAATAACTTCATCGAAAAGTACGTAAGTAAAAAGATATGATTTTAATCTATAATTTCGAATTCCATGTCACAGCACAAATTTAAGTTATTAAATCATTCCAAACTCGAACTTTTACAACACAAAATACTTTACAAAATTTGTAAATATGACTAATAATCTGAATATTTTTAATAAAAACTACAATGATAAGTTATATATAAAGTTTTTTCTCTAAATAAGAATAATAAATAAAGTGTTTCTAAAATGTCAAATCACATAAAAATATTTTAGAAACATAATGGTGAGTGTGTGTATATATATATATATGTGTGTGTGTGTGTGTGTGTGTGTATTACTTTAATAAATAATTTAAATTAGCGTGATATTTATATTCCCAGAATTTTCAAAAAGATTAAAATTTTCTGTTTTTATGTGACATTTTGTGTAAATAAATAAGTATTCTAGGAACATATTTCCATCGATCAAACATTTTAAAAAGTTCATACAAATATGGGTATAAAAATGCTTTATTTTTTAGATAGAAGCAGTTTCACTATTTAATACACTGAGAAAAAAAGTTACTGTTTCAAAAAAATATTAGTTGATTCAACTAAATGTAGCGGTCACGGACTGTCAAGCAAATATTTGTTAATTCAAATAAATAACATGTTGTAATAAATTACAAGATTTTGTTAATCTAAATATATAAATATTTGAATTAAATAATCATTACGAATTAAACGTATTTAGTCAAGTTAACAACTTTTTTTTCTAAGTGCAATAGCAAACAATTAATGAAACAAATAATAAATATTTAAACATTTTTTTCATTGAACAACATTTAAACATTTTTTATAAAAATTATTCAAAATAATCTTCTCCAAATGATTTTATTTATATTATTGCCAATTATAAATAAAAAAAATAGAAAAAATCTTTAATCATTCTAAAAGTAAGCGTTTTTGTATGTGTTGTTGTAAGTGTTTAATGTTGAAAATGTGTATTATGTGATCCATTAATTATTTGATACTGTTAAATAGAATTCCTCCTGTCTCAAAAACTAAGTGTTCTATATTATAAACCCATGTTCACATAAATTATTGTTTATGTTTGGTTGATAGGAATATGTCTCTAGAATATTTGACACTTATTCATTTACATCTTATAGATATA